TTAACGAAAGTCAATGATAAGCGAAGAAGGATACCTTTATGCGTTCTCGGAATCGAGTCCATCGCGATGAAGTTTCTAGAAGCGACGGACACGGCGAAATCAGGCGAAACGCACCTAAACACGCCGAATTCAGCAATACGGCAAATCACTATTGACAAGATGACGCACTGAACAGCACTGAACTGCTGACGCGCACGTGCTGCACTCAGTCGGCGGCTGAAGTTATTTAATTAACAATTGCGCGGCAAAATTACGAATTCGCAATTGTTTCTTTTATATTTATGGTGTTTTCTGTTTCTGCACTAGACTGCACTAGAAGTCTCTTTCGGCCGTATTCATAGTCCTTCCTTATTTTAAGGATAGAGAAAGCCTCCATGAAGGAATCCTCGAATCTTCAAGGCCTCCTTGTTTCATAAACGGACCTCAATGGCCGTATTCATGGTCCTTCCTTGAGGAATGAGGATTCCTTGTTCCTCATTTCATGTTTCATAAACCTAAAGGTTCCTTGACAAACAAGGAACCTTATTAGCTTCCTTTTCTTAAGGGAGGTTACGAATTTCTTTGAGGAAGAGATTGTGTGAGAGAGGTGAAGACAATCTTTATAACTAAGCAAATCTCCAAAAATTAGTTTGTCTCTGTTGTCATATTCAATCTATGGTTTTGTGGTTACTTGTATCGTGTTTTCAGACTAAAGGAAAATAAAGTAATAATATTAGTCTTCCGAAAATATTTGGAATATAAATGGATAATGTATTTGTAAATTATTCTGACGATGGATTTGAAGATGAAAATCCAGAAGATCGAAATTTGTGGCGGCTTGCGAAAAGATACATACGTAATTGGAAAAATCCCATAGAATTTTTAGAAGATATTCCTTTTCGGAAAAGATATAGATTCAGCAAAAGAGCTGTGATCGAGATCTTATTACCTTTGGTAAATGCTCAACTGAGGCAATTGGATAATCGCGGACTGCCAGTTTCCCCATTGATGCAGCTTTTAATAACACTGCGTTTTTATGCAACAAGTAGCTTTCAGGTAAATTTTGTTCTAACACTGCGGTAAATAAATAGATAATTTATTTTCATTTTATTTATATGCAGTTATAATTACAGATTGTGAATGGAGACTTGCGAGGATTTAGCCAAGCTACAGTATCAAGAATTATTGCTCGAGTTTCCAGAATTATAGCATCACACTTAAGTATATTAATTTTTTTACCGAAGAAAAACATCGGAGTAATAAAAATAAATTTTATGAGATTGCCAACTTTCCGTCTATAATAGGGTGTATTGATTATATACCCATATACGCATTGCAAATCCTGGACGGAATTATGGAGAAGTATTCCGGAATAGAAAAGGATGGTTTTCTTTAAAAGTACAGGTATATTTTTTCAAGTGTTTTTTTGGGAGGATCTCGTTTGTCTACAGTTCTGATTGTACACACCACTCATATCAACTGGTGCCTAGTAATTTTTCACTGTTTTGCCAATGAGATTATTTTATTTTTAAATTAGCCAATCAGCGATACATGTGTGCAATATGCGATGTGTGCAATCGGAGCTCTTTCGTTCTTTTTTTGTATGTCAAATGAGATTATGCATGGATTAATAATAAGTTCAACAATTTTTATAATTTATTGTTTTGTGACGACTCGTCACTAGAGGTTAGTCCACGGGACTCACTCGGTTCGCGTAAGCACCGCACCGCGCGAATTTTCCTTTAAATAGAATATGCTGGATTCATTCCAGGCGTCTAAGGCAAGTCCCCCACTACATCGCCTTACTGATGAGTCTAGTAGTGTGGGACCAGGACGAAACGCTGCGGCCGACTACAAAGCTTCGAGTCAGGCCTTCTTAGTGGATATTTCCACAGTTTTATAAGTTGTAAGTGGACCCCAACGAGAAATTCTTGATATTGTTGTCAGGCATCCAGGTTCAACTCACGATGCCGTGATATTTGATCGAAGCGGTCTACGCTGTCGTTTCGAGCTGGGAAGCCTGGATGGAATTCTACTTGGTGATAGTGGATATGCGTGCCGCAGCTATCTATTGACACCTGTTTTAAGACCTGAGACAGACGCAGAAGTTTGGTACAATACTGCGCACAAGAAAACGCGAGTTAGCCCGGATCCTCATACGGGCAACAGCGCTTTGACACACAGCGCTAATTGGTGAAAAGCCGATTGTGGGGTAAAATTTACACTCGTTTTTCGCCAATCAGCGTTTGGTGTCAAAGCGCTGTTGTCCGTATGAGGATCCGGGCTTACCGTTGAACAGTTATTTGGATGTTGGAAACGTCGATTTCCATGTCTATATTATGGCTTAC